CGGCCTTGCCAAAGATTTGGAAACTCACTCTAGAGCAGATTTATCCCATATCGCCTTATATTGGTGTGACATGATGCAATTCATCGGTGTGGAAGGTCTGGCCAACAAACCGAATGTCATATCATCAGGAAACTTTGGTTTACGCAGTCGTCCCAACACACGCTGAGTCGGATTCATGCGGTAATTTTTCTCTTTGGCAAACTGAATCCACTTTGGCACGGGATGTATGCCCTCTTTCACCGATTCCACATTGATACGATGAAAGTCACGTGGAAGACAATTCGGATCTATATGATCACCTTCCTTTGTCGTTGGCCAATTAAAACACTGATAAATTTCGTAGGGATTGCGTTGATAAACCATGCCATATGTGAATCCTTTCGGTTGTTTTGGACGACCGCGTGTGCAAACTTGTCCTGTTTTTGGTCTTTGCAGTGTTTCGCGGTTAAGCATCGTTCGCCGACATACGCCAATCTGGCCCGGGGCCACGTATTCACATTTTTTCAACAAACCTAACGAAGCTGTTCGACTGGGCATGGTCCTTTAGCACTCGTTATGGGAAGAAATAGATAGATACAGGGAACAAAATAGGTTTGGCCAATAGAATAAACAAGACGGGTTTGAAACGGCACGCCATGTGACTCTGGAAAAAAATCGATATTTTGTTCTTCCAATGGAATTGAAGAGCCCAACAACTGAGGCTGATGAACTCACACGTTAATTATGATTGAGATGATAGCATGAAATAAAAATGTTTCGATGTTATTGAATTTTTTGTTATTACTTATTGGCATGATAATAAACATCTGAGAATGAGTTTGTTCGTTTCGTTGTGTTGCCCCTCGAATAAACACACAGACATGCATTCACATGGACTTCTGTCCTATGCCTCCGATTAATAACCTTAAACTGAGCCAAGGGCTACCATAATGTAAGCATTTGTTATATATATATATATATATATATATATATATATATATGACTAGGAATGTCGAAAAACAAGTGTTCGTTCAGCGACTCGTTTTCTTAAAACCAAATCCATCGTTATTTCTGTATTTTGCAGTCTATGACATTCAATTCAGTTTCAGTTTGAACAACCATCAACCATGCACTTTCGTGCGCCGGTTTTGGTTGCTGTCTTTTGGCTGCCCATTTGGATGAATAATAGGAGAAGAACAGGAAAGTCAAATGTAGAGTCGAAGAGAAAATTGAGAACTCCAGCAAACTATGACTGCAAAGAAATCGAGAAGATGCAAGAACGCCGCTGTTTACGACACCCACCATCGGGTACGATTTTCTCGAGGTCCCGAGTCAGAAAGCCTAACGGGACCTATGTGAACCGGTCTCCTGGTCAGGGTTTTCATACCCTCGTGCCAGGTCTTAACTTGGCCACCCTTGACTTTCTTCCACCCACTACTTGCCTCGGCGAACATCGCTCGCCGTGGCAACCTATTTGGTGACATGCGTAAGACAGGCCCCAACCAAAGTAATCTATGGCGGTGGACCNGGACCACTTACTTCAGGGGACGACTGTGGATACCCAAAACTCTACCCCTAACCTCAGTATTGTTCGTCCGGCTGCCCTACCAGATTCGTGCAATGCTGCGTAGACACTGGTGTTCAAACACCGACAGTCTGTCTTTGTTTTGTTTTCTTAATAACCGAGTTTCTGCTCCATATAGCAGAAATGGCCGAACTGCTGCGGCATACACTCAACCCTTCACAGACAACCGGATGTCGCAACGGTGCCACAGATGTCTCAAGTTGGTAAAAGCCAACCTAGCCTTATGTATGCGAGCTGACACTTCATCCGTGATGCATCTACTGGGCAAGATGTAGCTGCCTAAACAACAAAACTTATCCACTTGCTCTATTACGTGTCCAGTCACGAAAACATTAAAATGTTTAGATGTTCCACATTCATCTGTTTGAAGGGTTTTAATTATGTGGACACTTTGAACCCCAATTTTCTGAACTGAAACAGCCTTCATCTCAGTCCTGATTTGAGACAAACAAACTTTTGTTTAAATGACTATTTTTCATATGCTCAATGCCCGTCAGTCCCACATGCGAGGCCA